GAAATTTGCAAATCTTCATTTCCATTTTCGATTTATATGTTTAATTTACTCCAAATTGTAGCTTTTCTAGCAAACTACGTACTGTTGAAAACACAATTGTTTATGAAACCAAATGAAACTCATACAAGAGACTTTATCATTGGTTCTGTTGAGTTCACTGTTGAGTTTGGACTGGATAAAAATGCCCAAGTTGTGGCAACACAATTGTCATTTCTCAACCTTGACTTTTCAAAGCATAGTTAACCTCAACTGACATGACATGACAAACAGTTGCTGGACTACAGTAGGGATGAACTACGATGTCTAAAAGACCTTTCCACAGGTCACTGTCCTTTGCATCAACATATGCAGCGACTCGGCTGTCGGAAGACAGTGTGTGTCGCCTCTGTTTGGAAAATGATGAAACAGCAGAGCACATACTTTGTGACTGCCCCGCTGGGGACCGAATCAGGTTTTTAGAGTTCGGCAGAGTCGTAGACTTACCATCTGACCTGCAAGACCACTCACCATACAAACTAATCGGCTTCGTTGAGAAGCTGGGTTTATTTGGTCGAGTGTGAATAGGTGTGAGCCACAATAAACCCATGCGGGTTGCGGCGGAGAGTCGAATAGACAAACTCATTTTTGACCTAACCTAAGTGTTATTTAATGAAAATATACTGAAATATTAGAAAATTTATAAATTATAACAGTTGATGAAACGTAACAGTTGATGAAAAATGCAAATTATTTAGAAGTATATATTTATTAGTAACTTATAAACTTTATACGGTGTGTATAAACTTTAAACGAAAATGGTTTCATTTGAACATTTTTTTCAATAGGAAACGAGATACTTGCAATAAATATGTAAAACATCGATTTTTTGATTTGTTCTTGTTTCGTCAATTCGTGATTCGTCACCTGCCCCAACATTTCTTGTTTCGTCACCTGTACTTTTTTGACCTTTTCGCATTCGTTAACTGGGACTTCTAGGGCCATAAAAGTCCGTAAACCTAACCTAACCTAACCTAACCTAACCTAACCTAACCTAATCTAACCTAACCTAACCCAAATTCCCAATTTCTAGACTTTATTTGGAATCGAATTGTTTAAACCGTGTATATTTTGCAGTTGACGAAACAAGAATAAAATGGGTCATAACAGGTAAAATTTCCCTAGGTGACGAAACACGAATTGACGAAACAAGAAACTATCGATTTTTTGACCTTGAAGTATCTGTTGTCGGGGACACCCAACGTTAAGTAGGTTTTGAGATAAGTTTTAGGATGCCAAAATGGAGGTTTATACAACTTTATAGCTGACTAGCTCTCATTTCGGGATACTTACCCTCATTTGATCGATATTTCTCGACCGAAGCGCAAATTTTTGTCTTTAGATTCCTGATCAGCGGATAAAATACGTAAATGTAAAAAAAAAATAAAAAATTAAAAACGAATATTTACTGAATAATTATAAATTGAACGTGTGTCATTTACCATTTTCAATTAAAACTTCACATGGAGCTTTGGGTACCTTGATACAGTATCAAACATCTAGTAGATACAGTAAGACAGGACCGTCTCAGATAGCTCCAACGAATCTTTATTACACTTTTACACGAAACAATTATTTTTGTTCAGTTTACAAGTCGACTATGTACCGCCCATGATATTTCGGCGCGGAACATAATTTGTAACTTGGCAAATATTAGCATTTCATATTTACCCCATTAGTGCACATGACGGAGGCAACGGCCCAAATACTTTTTCCCGATGAATATTTCATATTTTTCCGGGGACTTTTTTGACCGACTCTATCTCCAGGCTATGTCACGAATTTAAATCGCATAAGCACACCAAACCTACTACATAATTCCGAAATAAATTTGTGTGTGATATATGTACTTTGAGGTTTGACTGAAAATTGATATCGGATATATTAAAAATTCCGTTTACGTCTGAAAGTACTATGTTGAAACAAGAATATCTGAAATAATTTTATAAAAATCTCATGGTAGCGATGTTATGATGGATTATAATAACTCTTTGCGAATGCTGCAGAACTTTTAGTTTCTTCAATTCATACATCAGTGATATATTAACCATTGATAAATTATTTTCAAAACTTAAGGATGAAATTCCTATAAACTTTCAATCTCAGTTAATATATTCCATTCCATGTTTAAATTGTAGTAGTGGATATATTGGTCAAACGTAAAGACTACTCTACTACTACTACATTCCGAGAGATGTGCTCTTAGTAATCATGTCTCCAAAGAAGGTCATAAAATGGACTATAATTCGACTGAAATCTCATCAATTGAAATAAAAAATAAATCTGAAAGATTGTTTTTGCAAATGTCATTTGTATTACAATCAAGTAATTGCCTTAATAGAAAATCAGACATTGATCACCTCAGTGAAGTCTATGCCTTCCTTCTAGATATTGATGAAAATATACATGATTTCCAAACTGGAAATAATTCTGGATTTCATTCAATATAATTCACAACTTCTTAAATAATTTTGAACAAAGTTCTATCCTCCCTATGGCAGGGTTTCACTTTCATTTAACAACACTTTTTCACTGGTTTTCCTCAAAACTAATAAGGGTGTTGTGAATTAATTTATTTTGAATTGGACATATTTGATATTGGGTCTTCTCATTGATTTACTTATATAAAAGTAGATGTCTCTGATCACACTTGCACCATAATAATTTTCTTTTGTTCTATAGTTTTATCATAGACAAACAAACACACCTTTTCAAAGTGAATCACATGATAGCTGTCATTATCAATTGTTTATTGTCTCTCTCTTTGTTCTGCAATTTTTTCGTTAATCAGCTGTCGCCCCCATACGAACAACTCTCAGAAGTTGAGAAACTTGTGCGAGCTAAGAACTAACGAGGTCTTTCCAAAGATGTCAAAAAAATATATAGTATATATAGAATGACACTGAAGAGCAAAAAATCCATTTATGTATGAATGATGTTACTAATAGTTGAATGCACTTTCAGAAAATAATGCTAAAAATAAAAACATGCAGAGGGAGGTTTGCTGGAGTCCTACAAAAAAAAAGAGGTGCAACTGGAAGTTTTAATATCATGATACAAAAAATTTTGCTATTTGCTATTTGCCTACGAACTTTGATTGGAAAGAGGTGGCGGATGCATCAAGAAAGAAATAACAACAAATATCAGAAAAAGGGATTTGTTACGACCATTTTCAAGTAGCTAAAAATGGTCTAATAAGCTTAGTAGAAACTTAGTAGAAATTAGACAAGTTATTTTCATTATTATATATCCTAGTATTTGGCCACTGTTGATTCTCAAGATAATATTTATTTCTCACTTTATTATTTATAGTATTATCATTATTTTTTCGAATTAAACAACACCCCCATAACTCAGACCCAGGCTGTCATATTCCTTGACTGGGCCACCATTAGTCGTGTGTGAGTAGATTGAATCCCTAATAAATGGAAGTGCTATTTTATAGCAATAAAAACCGTTAAATATTTTATGGCGATAAATTAAAAGCCCATTTCTTTTAATTCACACTCTCGGTATTAAAATAACTGTAATTAATTTATGTTGTACAGCGTGTTTTTTTTATTTTTTATCTGAGATCCAGTATGCCCGCATTCATATTCCATAAAATTTTGTTACTGGTAATTTTGTATTTAATTACTACCCCAGTTATATAAGTAGAGCAATAATTTGATGATTTCCGATTGTGATCTCGTTAATATGAACAGTTTTATGATGTGGTTCCAGAATCGGTTTATTGCTTTGGTTTGGAGTTTGGTTACTTGATATGAAATATTATTAATATTTTTCTCAGCGGTTCTAATCATCACCAACTATATAATCATGGTAATGATTACGCACCCCCTATCATACAATATGAAACAAAAGAGCTATTCCTATGGTGGCTCCTGGAAACTGTGGGAGGTGAGGCTATTTAAAGGAAAATATGATTATGTAATATACAGGATGTTTCAAATTCGACCCTCACCATTGAGATCACGGAAACTATTGGAGATACGAAAATGGTTAAATTAGGGCAAAGTTGCGCATTCATCTGATCAACAATATACAGTTGAGAAATTTCTAAAATTCCGAGTATATCCGGAGATATCCGGAAAAAACAGAAGTTTCGGAAAATGGTTGTTATTTTTTTCTGGCTTTATTAATCGAAGGATTCGAAAGTGAATTGTTCTTCCACATTTCCACCTTTTCCCTGTTTTCAGATTTGCTATCCGACGTTTCGTCTTCTGGCAATCATCATCAGCTTTATTTTTTCTCATGGGCGCTACATTGGATTCTTTTTGTTTTCAATATAACCAGATTTTACCTTTTCAATGATGAATTATAAGTTATCATTCTTTTTCGAAAAATTTGAAATATATATTGAAAAAAAATTAATTCTTATCATAATAGGCTTTGACTTTGATGTTTCTAAATTTGACTATCAATTTGTTACAGTCAATGACGTTTTGTTAGTGTACAACTCATTGAATTTTTGGCGAAAATTGGCTTTCACGAATGAAGAAAAGAGAGATATGATACAAATTCCTTACATATTCGATAGAAACAGTGTTTCTATGATGATGTTACAAATTTCTTTATTTTTCTACTATAAAAAATATTTTTTCATTATTAATACGTCATGGTGACTATTTGTTTCATTAGTAATATCAATTAATTTTCTTTTCCCCATTATGAAATAAAATAAAATATTTTCTTCTCCATGTAAGTATTTTATACTACATTGTATTAACTATTATTACTGTTTCTATTTAAAATATGTTTTTCCGTTAACCAGCTGTTGCACCCCTACGAACGACAACCCTCAGAAGTATAAACTTGTGCGAGCTAAGGATTAATAAGGTCTTACCTTCTAACGTGTGTGAAATTTTAAATAATAACTGATGATGAACCTATATAGGTTCGAAAAATGTACTGATTGATGGTTTTACTGCTCTAACATCTGATGGGACATTAAATTAGGGAGACGACTTTGAGTTTTTATTCTTTGCAAATCTACTGCACTCCACTTTGAGATTTAATGGACTTCTACCAGAGGTTGACATTGTATTAGATGGAATATCTAGTAGAAACTGCATGAGGTCAACCTGGAAGAAAGAAAAATAATTTTAATTTATTTTTGGTAAGAAACTACATACTTATCAATTAGAAATTGCGTACCCTAAGTACTCTTCTACCTAAGAATTGTTTCATCTTCTTTTTAAAAGGATGATGTCGAGATTTCTCTATTCACGTGGTAGCTTATTGTACAGATGCAACTTCAGGGAAGTGCGTTGTGAGATTGCAAGTTTACGACTAGGAGGCCTCATATGGTCTGCTTTTCTGGTTGAATAATTGTGGAAATCGTTATTTCTGTCAAGACATAGAAGGAAGACATAAAATCCTGAGCTTCTTGAAGAGTTTTCGGCATGAGACATTATACGGGGCATCAGCCATAAAACGTATAGCACGTTTTTGAAGACGGAAAACTCCAACAGAGTGAGGTGAATTTCCCCATAAAATAATTGCGTAATTCAGATGAGAGTGGAAAAGAGCTTGATATAAAGATAGGAGGGTAGAATAATTTGAATAACGTCAAAAAGATCAACAGGTGACGAATCATGGGTATATGGTTATGACATCGGAATCAAAGTACAATCGCACCAATGGAAGAGCCCGGGAGAGCCACGACCAAAAAAGCACGCCAAGTTCAATCAAATGTCAAGGTTCAGCTCACTGTTTTCTTCGATTACCGTGGCGTAGTGCATCAGGAGTTCTTAGCACATGGTGTTACGGTCAATGAGGAGTATTATCTTGAAGTTATGCGCCGCTTGCAAGAAGCAATACGAAGAAAACGTCTGGTATTGTGTAAAAACAGTTCATGGCTGTTGCATCACGATAATTCACCTGCTCACTCGTCATTGCTTATTCGTAATTTGTTGGCAAAAAACAACACCATAATCATGTCAGCCACCGTATTCACCAGATTTGCCTCCCTGCGACTTTTTCCGTTTCCTGTTTCCTGTTCCCCGAATCGCTGAGAGAGCTCAAGGTATGTCCAGAAAACATAAGAAAACTTTTTCGATGACTACATTGAAGGGGACAAAATAGAAATTGATGATTAAAAAAATATTTTTGGAGAAAAATGAAAATTCACCTTATTTTTTGAACAGCATATTGAGTAGTAATTTTTCTGGGTAAACTTTACAATTAGTCCTTTACTACACTTTAAGAAATTCTTCACTCATTGATTTAGCTTTATTTATATTTCAAATCGTGTAAGATTAATTATCCAAGAAACAGCAAAACACAAAAACAGATACTGAAGCTCAATAACACTTCATTATTAGTAGTGATCTTAAATGCTTTTTAAGTTACCAGTGTATAAAATATGCCATAATTGGACAACGACGTTAAAATATTGTGAATTGACACTTGACCCATTGAAAGCGCAGCTTCGCAAATTATATTTGCGATTTAAACTGAAGAATTCTTTAATTGTAATGAATGTCTCGTACTTAAAATAGACTCTTAGGCGATCATCATCACTAAATTCATTTATATCAATTGAAATTATACTCTTACCAATGGATCGTTCAGAGAAATCCAACATCGAATTCGATTACAGGGTGGATGTGATTGTGGAAATAACTTTGAAGGGGAAATAGTTCAATATTTTAAAGCTGAGGATACTCAATCAAAAACAAGTGTGCCTCTATAGAATTAGCTCAAAAAACACATTAAAACAAAGGAAAATGGAATCTGAAATGAGATGTAAAACTGGAGTTTCTGGCGCAGACTTTTCTTAAACACCAGGACTGAACTTATTTGTCCATAGGCTTGTTAAGCATGCATGCAGTTAGGATATTAAGAAAAGTGTTATCAGGGACAGAGCTGAAAGCAACAAGTATTCGTCAAATATAGTAGATAAGTTAAATAGAAAATGTAAATTTAGGAAGAAATATGGACCGATGACGCCACCAGCACAAAATCCACACCAAACAGTAACTTTTTCTGGATGTATTGGACGCTCTCGAATCTCATGTGGATTGGTTTCGTCCCAAATTCGACAATTTGTTCACGTACCCATTGATCCAGAATTGAAGATTGATCCAGAATTGAAGATTTTTCAATGAAAGTTAGGGTCAGCTGTCTACTGCTCCAGAGCCCATTTAGCGGTTACACGTCATTGCCTATGGTCGTTTACCTTCAGTTCCTGAGTCGGTTGAATTTTTCACGAGTACAGGCCCAATTCGCCAAGTTGTGGTCTACGAATGCTATATTTATCCATGATGATTTGACAAAACATACTGAAGAATTGACAACTAATTTGACAGATGTAAGCTTCAACAAGACGGCCATTATCAAATGTCTCTGTTGGAAGATCTTATGTATTCGAACTCGAATACGAAATTTTGGACCAGAGAGGTCAAGTAGATATTGTTTATATGCATATACAAAAAGCCTTCGATAGAATGGACCTGAAAATTTTACTACGAAAGCTTGGTTTTTTAGGATCCTCTTCAATGTCGATTATGGTATGAGACATTGTCCATGACAATGACAGAGCCAGGTTCCACAAATTGAATGATGCCTTCAAGCCATTTCTCAAACACCTCCGCATTCATCTCTTCATGAAAGTCGCCTGTTTTCTTAGATTTAAATATTAATTCACCATTTGGTAAAAATCCACTGTCGCTTCCTATATGCGTAACTATCAGATGACTACCTTTTTCAGATGATTTTTTTAACCCAACTGACAAACCTTCAATAAAGACTTGTCGTGCACTTGTTATATTACCATCCTGCCATACTTTTTTGACCGTATGTCCTTGGTTAACCCATGTCTCGTCCATGAAGTACAATTTTTTTTTGAGCTTTCGAAATTCGTCAATTTTTCTTAGATAGTTTCTTCTCCATGCTATTATTTCTTGACGTTCAATGAGAATGCTTTTCCTGTCAACTTTTCCGTACGTAAATTTCATTTCGTGTACAAGTTTCCTAAAATTCGCTAAGTGCCTCCAGAACTGTTTATAGTGTGGGCAGCTCATTTCTGAAAAAGAAACTGTGAATAGTTCTGCGTATACTGGTTTTGGCTTCTTCATCAACTGTGATTTTTTTTCGTCCGCTACTAGTTTTTGGCGTTTATACGTCCCCATGAATTTTTGCTTCTCTTAGTATTTTGTAAATCGATGATTTTGGTACACCGGTATAATCAGAGCACATATCAACTAATTTATCTTTTGTAATTGTGGAACTTAATGATGTAGAAATGCCCGGTTGGTTATTTGGAGGTACACACATAGAATTACAGCACATATGCACAAAGTCATCTTTTGGTGGCTGATGATCTCTTTCAAGACAGTGAAATACTCGCAGTATAATTTGTTTTTCTCTTACTGACCGAGACTCCGACCGTTTTACCTTTTTCGACGTGGAAGGCCCGACCATGTCTCCCATTTTTTGAGTAGTTTGAGAACGGTGTAGAAATATAATTATGTAACGCTTAAACACTTATTAGCACTATTATTTTCGCCAATTGTTATCACAACACGTCGATTGCTGACTAACTTAACTGTAAAACGTACAATTCACGCTGTATAATTCACAAATCAATGATACGTTCATGGCTGCAAGTACATTAGTGAGGACTGCAACGATAAGATGGAACTCTACTGCTTACTATATTTTGATTCTGCTATAAATTGGTAACGTAAAATTTAGATATGACAACGCGCTTTACTCTCAATCATTATTGGTTTTACTATAGGTGTCTTCCTCATACTTGTTCTATGATATTCTTTGATTTCCAATAACACCGCTTCCTACATTTGGATTGTTCTCACACTTTGAGGTCTTGCTTCAGATGTTCCTTGTAGGACAATACTGTACTGGTGAATCACGATTTAGATATATCTGGTAATAAATGCGTTGTATCGCGCGTTTTTCATCGCACGATCCAACGCGCCTTGTTGAAGTACTACAGAAAATTCCCTGGGTACACATGCGATGCGTGCTTTCAATTGGATGCAAGTCATAGCGCGTCTCAAAGTTTCTTCGAGGAATGCGCGATTGAAACGCGCCTTGAGTTCTCATGGCTTAGATTAGACTGTTCACATGATTCAGACAAGTTTAATATTGAAAACAGGTTATTATGTGATTTATTACGACATTATTAATTTTATGAACAGGAACAAATAGGCGTAGTGAAATCCAAACAGATGCTGCCGCTTCGAATTCCATAGCTGTACTGGCGATCAACGCGGCGTCAACGCTGTTTGTGTACGCTATGGGTTATCTGACGGCGTTGTAACGCGCGATGCAACGCTCTCATGTGTACGTAGCCTTACCGTCGGCGAGGCCATACACATAATGCATATCTGCCAATTCCAAGTTCGAATGATCCACCATCATTGAATAGTATTAAACAGTGAAAACGTAATAATGGAGGAGATAATTCACAAAGAATAAATTTGAAAACATACTCTTATAGGAAATGTCAGCAAGTCACATATTCCAGAGAAACTAGATTGATTGTATATTGACAATATGACGTGAATCTGAAGCTGAAGTTATATCGAGTTGAAGACAATTCTTCAGTCAACGGCATATCACAAAAAAAAATGTTTTGTTTGCAATTAAACGAGAGATTGAAAATTTATTTTCATTTAGAAACAACGTACTAGTAGAACGCATGCCACTGTTAAATTAGATATAATTCTTTTTGTGTCAAAAACTGTGCATCACAAGGGTTTTATTTTCTTACTCAAAAACGACGTATCGTAGAAAAAACTCAGAGACGTTTTTATTCCAAATTGGACAATTAGTTCAAAAATGAAATGCATATCACTTTTTTTTCAAAAATATTGAATTCACTTTTGTGACTGCCAGGGACTGTGACTGAGAGGGACTGCCAATGGGATCGCCACTTTCCCCGGTTAGAGCCAACATTTATACGGAGTGGTTTGAAACTCTGGCCATTGAAGAAGCCCGCAAGAAATCTCGAGTCTGATGGAGATTCGTGGACGACACCTTCATAATATGGAACCATGGAAATGCAGAACTAGACACTTTCCTGAAGCACATCAACAAGTCCTCACATCACATTCACAATGGGGAAGGAAGTCCAGAACGAATTGCTATTCTTAGACGTATTGGTGAAGAGGACCGACACTAAATGGGAAACATTCACAGGGACAGTATCTGAACCACGATTCAACCACCATCAATAGACTAAGACCGGAATCATTAAGACTCTGGTAGACCGTGCTTTTGGGCTCTGCATTACAAAGGGAGGTTCGAAAAGGAACTAGGCATCATCAAAAAATACCTTCAGCGGAATGGTTACTCCAAGTATAAGATCAGAACCTGCTTCAGATCTGAGAACAATATCTGTAGCAGCCTCACGAAAACCAGGCCACCAAATGCGGACTGCGATTCCAAGATTTGCATTTACCAGATACCATAGTGCGGAGAATCATACATCAGTGGAACTAAGAGGCCACTGAAAGTTCGCATTGCCATTTCACAAGAAACACACACAACGAGGAAAAACCAGCAAATCAGGAATAGCGGAGCATGTTTGGACTCATTAACATAACATCAAGTGGTATATGTTGTCCAACAACGCATTTAGCCAAGCTAGCGTAGAGATACGCAGCATACGGAAACCTATAATCAAGCGGAAGATCAACTCCCGCCAAATGGTCAGCTCCCGCTAAAACCGATGATGTGGAGAGAGGGAAGAGGGGATAGATGAAAGCACTCGAATGACCTATAACTAGTCAGATTTTAGAGGAATAAGTCCAGTCATCACCCGAAGACGATTGTGGATACTAACAATCGATACGTTATGAAGCAACTTAGATTGGAATCTTTTAATTTTCATTTTTTGTTAATAATATTTAATTTTCATCTCGTGTTAATAGTTCAATTTTTTGATTTTTTGATTATTTCTTGTATTTTATTTAACTGTTTCAGTTATTTTGCTTGATATAATTGTTGATTTTCAGCTAATTTTTTCAATTATTGATAGATTCTTTCAGGGATTTCAAATCAATTTATATCATATTAGACAATGGAAGTCCGAACTAATAAAATGCATCGAAATCATTGCCTATGAAATATTCCTAAAATATCCCAAATGGTTTCGGAAATATCAAATAATTTCCATTTTTGTTCTTAAAACTTCAACACTACGTATTTTTGTAAGGGATCATTTCTGGACCATAGTTTATAACCAACTCATCATAATTTTTCATATAGATTTACACCCTTCTATATTCGCATATCATTGAGGAACACTTTGAATATTATAGTGATTTGAATACCAATAAATTCGAATTCAAAATTCAAATTTTTTTCTACGGCTCCGCAGTTACATTTCTTCTAGTTTTTTCGAATGTATTGAATGTAATTCCAAATGTTCAGCGAACGACCTCCCAACTCTCATGCAGAACACATTCCGTATAAAATATGAAATTTCGAAGTATCAAAGTGTTCCATTTCCTCTTTATATAAAATTTTATGCTGTTTTCTTATTCAGGTGTGCTAGTGAAACTTTTCTCGTAGCGCTCAAAATTTAATCCCGGAGATACTCGGTATACAGAAATTATATTGCTGGCTTCAAAAGAAATTACGGCACTCATTCCTCTTTGGTGCTGTTATAAAAATTAAATCAAATTTTCCCCAATAAAGTTTCCCGGATACAAGTTAGCTTTGTGTAGTTGGCCAGCGGGGTTTTCGACGAACAATTTTCGAGTTATTGTGGATGGTTTGCATATTTTTATAGTCCGGGAAAATGGGAATTGAATTGCGAACGAAATATCGCTATGATATTGATTATAAAACGTGAATTCAAGTTTGACAATTGAACTGTGTACTGAAGCATAAGTTTAACCGTGGCAGATTTCTCTAACAATGAGGCATTATTGACATTCTTCAACATCATTGAATTGAAAAAGGACAAGTATGATAGATAGCCACAAATTAAAATTATAGTAGGTAACTTTGATTTCAAACTTTTAACTTAATTTTCAAACTTGATTCAAAGTATTTAATATTTTTTATTAATNTCATTTTGTCTCCGCAAAATTATCATCTAATCGATACAATACACACGTCGTTTGGAATGAATGATATTTAATCAAAGTGATGAAATAAATTAGACTAAATAAATTTCTTTGAAGTAACAAATCTTTTTTTTCCGTGTGCTTAGATAAGTATAGATATGCATGTTTCGTTGAAAATACCAAAATTAAAAAGCAAGTACAATTACATTGTTTTCCTCCAACCTCAGTTGCTGCT